AAAAAGTATAAGTTCCATAAGGACTAGTAAATGTTGTTTTCTCTTGATCCTCTGGAGCAATAGGTATTTGATGATGACTGGTATATCTATCTAAAAAACAAAAATATTTGTGTCCAACCAGCCTATCCAACATCTGGTCCAAAAAGGTTAAAGGAAAAAGATCCTTTCTGGTGGGAGAATTTAATTTTCTATAATCTATGCAGATTCGCCAACTAGTGACTTGTCTTACTGAAATTAATTCGTTATGATCATTTGTCACTAGAATCACACCTCCTTTCTTTAAAACACAGTGAATTGGACTTACCCAAGCACTGTCTAAAATAGGATATATTATTCCATCCTATTTATTGGACTTACCCAAGCACATATTTTTGGATTTTCCCAAAAGGTTCTCAGCATTGTTTCCTCATCACGGATTTGCAGCACAATAGTTATTGTTACTCCAACTAAAATTTTGAAGATTCTTCCAATTGGGATTATAATAATTGAATAAGGATTATTAGAATGATTATTTATTGCATTTAAGGTCTCATAAGATGATTCACATTCTATCATTTTTCCTAATGAATTTTTCTCAAGGACAAGTGATGTTTGAGAATAATTCATTCCATATTGGTCTAACTTCTTTGATATAACGCTTATTGTCTAGCTAACATAGATATTGCACAAAATCATAAATACTAGCTACTCTTTTTAGATTTACCCTTTCAAAGGGCCATTAAAAATTATTAGTAGCCATCTCTTCAAATAATGAATATGCTTCATTGAATGATTTTGACATTAATGATCCACCACCAGCAACATCAATTATAGATCAAAGAGATCCAACCAACCCATTATAACAAGTTTGAATTATTAACCAATCTAACAATGCATGGTGCGGATGCTTTCTAAGGAGATATTTCAAATTTTCCCATGCTTCATAAATTGATTCCTTCAAACTGTCAAAAAGATGTAACGTCATTTTTAATCTTAGTAATTTTTTGAAGGTGAGACTGACATTAATGATCCACCACCAGCAACATCAATTATAGATCAAAGAGATCCAACCAACCCATTATAACAAGTTTGAATTATTAACCAATCTAACAATGCATGGTGCGGATGCTTTCTAAGGAGATATTTCAAATTTTCCCATGCTTCATAAATTGATTCCTTCAAACTGTCAAAAAGATGTAACGTCATTTTTAATCTTAGTAATTTTTTGAAGGTGAGACTATTTAGATAAGAATTTTTGTGACAAATCTCCCCAAGTTTTGATAGATCCAGGTGGTAACAAGTCTAATCACATCTTGGTCTTATCCCTTGATGAAAAAGTAAAAAGTGTAAGTCCGACGACATCATCTGATACTCCATCATATTTAAATGTAGCACACAATTCTAGAAATCTAGCAAGGTAAATTAGGATCTTCAGTTGGTGTTCTCCCGAACAGATTATTTTGAATCATTTGGATAATAATATGTTTAAGCTCAAATGAATTGGTAGCTACAGCAGGGTTTTGTATACTCAAATGAATTTTATCTGCTATCGGATTAGCATAATCTCTTAAAGGTCTTTGATAATGTTCATTTCATTTTCAGCATTACTCAATTTGCAAGCCATTTTGCTAATATGTTCTATCTTTTATTGTTGTTTTCAGATTTTTTTAATAATTCTTTCTAATTAAGAATCGTAAGGTACTAACTTTTCAGATCTTACACTATGCATAAAAAAATAAAATAAGTAATTGAAAATAAGCAAACACACTTAAATAAGAAAATGTTCAAGCTAAACTACAAACACTATTTTTTTTTAACTTTTTATAAATAAAAATAAAATAACTTACTACTACTAGTTTCCATTACTTCCCCGGAAACAACACCAAAAAATTGATGCGGGCAGATTTAGGGTGTTAATTTTGTAATTATTTTTCAAGATTTGAAAATACACATGGCAGATAAAATAATAAATATACAATGTAAGCTCAACAAAACTAATTTTAATAAAAATAGTGTATCTTTAAAACTCTTTTAAATTGTCAAATCCCCTTTTAAAAATAATGCAAGTATATGTATTGCTCAGATAATAAAGAGCTCTAATGGAGTCCTAAATATTGATCCCATAGGGAAGTTGAAAATGCTTGTAAATAGTTCTTGAGATTATAATTATATTTTAAATTAAAAAAAAGGTAAAGTGAAAAGTTTGAATATTAACTACAAAATTGAAAGTTATTTAAAATTTAGTTGAAAACAAAATTAAGTAAACTAGAAACTAAACTTTCGAAAGTAATTATGAAAAATAAATAAATTTTTTGTTGACGAAAAATTCAAATTTAAGAAAGCATCTTTCCCCTTACAATGAGCATATGGATTGTGAAGAAATCAAAACTATTTTAAAAATATATATAAAAACTATTTTGTGTCAAACAGGAGAAATCCCATTCTTTACCCTCGTCCGAGTGATATAAAGAACATTGACTAATCCAGAGTTTGTTCCTTAATTTCATGGGTAGGTTGGGAGGATACTGTTGACCTCACTTTTGGTTGAGGTCTAGAAACTTCTTTAGTAGCCTAGGTCTAGCCATAGGACTTCCCTATTGACTAGTCTTAGAAAATTAGAAGAGGTACCCCACCATTAGAAAATTCAAAACTCTTCTTTTTACTCAACTTGAAATTCCACATA